ATATATATATATATATATATATATATATATATAGTTTTGTTAAAATAATGTTGCCAAGCTTTTTTTTTTAGATTAGTTGTTGACCATATGACTGGTAGACAACGCTTTATTAATGTAAGTTGATTTTTGTTTAGTCATCAAAAGTTTTCGCCTTTAGAACTTTTCGTTTTTAGTTTAGTTAAAGATTCGCAAATTTTTTTACTCTATCTTTTTTACTGTTATTTTATTTTATTTTTTTCAGTTTATAGTAATGAGCAATAGCTTATTTTTAGTTTATTTTCGCTTGGCGGCATAGTTCGTGTAGCATCTTACCTTTATCTTTTTTCTTTTGGTTTTTTTTTTTTTTTTGAGGGAGGCAGTAGGAAGCTTCATCAACGTAAAAAACGGATGGCTCATAGTTGTTGATGCTTTTATTTTTATCAGTTTTTTAGTTTAGGGCTCTGCAAAAATTTATGACTTCATATTGCTGTTTGTATGTATTAGTATCTTCTGTCAGTAGTAGATTTTTATTTTTTGAGTAGGGAAAAAACTCTTTGTTTATTATACCTGCAAATTTCTTATTTACTTGTTATTTTTTGCGTCACTGTTGTGATGTTTTTAGGTTTCAGTTTGAATGATGGTTTTGATCATTTTCTCAAAAATTATTTTAACGTGCATATTTACACTGTTAAATTGCCCATGTACTATTTGGACATGTATTATAGATCAGTATAGCTAGTTTAAAAATATTTTTTTTTCTAGAATTTACTGTTTTTTTTTAATGATCATTTAAAGTTTTATCATTTCAGGTCGATTCTGGATACTTTTTGTGATGGTGCATTACCATTCATAACTGTGATATCCTGCGTAATTGGAAATTTTTGTTATTTTCATGGTATTGCAGCTGTTTGTTATAATTTGTTGCTGGTGGCTTACAAGTTTATAATCTTGAGAGAAGCTTTTTACTGGAATTTCCATCATAATATGTTTATTTTTCAGCTGGAGAGATCTATAATCTAAGTCAGGTAAAGAGTTTTCAATGATGGAAATTGTTGAGCCTATGGAGTTGACCAGCGATGGTATGCTGACAGGAGAGTTCGAAAATCTTGTATGTTTTTCAAGTAACATTTGGGGATTTTTTATTTACCGGTTTTCCGTTGACGTTATGGAGGGTTCTTAGAGAAGTTTGAAGAAGAAAAATTCTTTAATTTTTTTGCGACTTCTAAAGTTTGTATAAGAGTTTTCGTTTTGGTCGTGTTTAAAAAAAGTTTTAAATCATGACGTTTTACCAAGAACAACTGTATTAGTTTTGTGAATGTAACTGATGAGGCAATATACTTAGGGGACATCCACGGCTAGCATGATGGCAGAACTTTCATTAGTAGAAAAACACAATCGTTGTGAAAGCAGCTACAGAGTGAGTCGTGACATCTTAAGTCGGGTATGTTTCTCAGTTGCTTTCTTTTTTTGATTCACATCTCTGGAAGTGTGGGAAGCGTTGTAACTAACTGCTCTGTAGGAGTGTTGAGCAAAATATGGTCTAAAAATTGAACCGTAATTGCTTAACATCATTTCTGTAATAAGATCTCCATTTAGGGGTTTGATCACTAGATCTTTTAGTAATCCTTTTTATTTTGGGATTATTTTGTTCGTATTTCTTCCCCCTAACTGAATTGAACTTCTTAATATAACTTTTTCAGCAATTTAGATTTAGCTTCTTTTCAGAAATTCGACGAATATAGTCAGAGTGAACAAGTTGATCTAGTTAAAATGCTAATTAAAAAAATGTGCCACACCCAACACAGCGCTATTGATGCGTTTCTGAAGCCTTTTTTACAACGAGATTTTATCGGTCATTTGCCTGGTAAGCTTTTGTGTCGTTTGAGGTAAAATTATTAGTCGTTTTTTGAGTATTACGTCTTTTGACTTCTTAACTATCATTTTTTTGGAAGCAGAGGTTTTTGACAGTCTTCATTTATGACTGTTTGGGGCGTTTCATAAATAAATCATTCAAAATTTGCATTTTCGAGGTTATATACTTGAATTTTTCTAAAGGTGTTCTTGCGGAGAATATTTTGTCACTATTGAGCGTCCGGGATTTGTGCAGGTGTGAAAGCGTGAGTAAGTTTTGGAGATCAGTCATTGCCCGTGGTATGATGTGGAAGAAAAGAATTGAGAACAAGCTTTGTTCGGACCCTGTCTGGAGAGGTGTTGCTAGGAGGCGCGAGTGGTGATTTTTTTGTTGCAGTATCAATAAATTTACTGTGCTGTCGTATTTCTGAAGGTTTATTTCTTGGAACATTATTTCAGGGAAAAGTATGTTTTTGTGTCTAGAGACGTTGCTCACGATCTTATCGTACAGCGTGGGAACATTTGTGATGAGAATTTGGTTAGAAGGACGAGGTGTTGTTACTATTTTCGTTTGATATTTTTTATTTTAAATTTAGGGATAGCTTATCCTGTTTGTGTAATTTTGTGTTGCAAAGAGTAAGCAATCTATGCGGAATCGTTTGACTGTATTTTTCTTCTCTTCCGCGTGATAGTACAGATAGCCGTTGTTTTGAACCATGAATACTTTAGAGGCACTCCGGAGTCGCTGGAAATGCAGCACCAGTTTTATCGGACGTTGTACCCCGCAATCCAAAAGGAGATTGAGGCGCTGGAAATTAATTGGAGGGATGGGACTCCAGTAATGAAAAAAATAAATTGTCTTTCTGAGCAAAGTAAAGGTGCTGGTTTTTTCCCGTTGGTATTTTTTCGACGTCGTTTATTTTTAATGTTCTGACCAAGAAAATTTAGGGGTTTATTGCCTTCAGTATGATGAACAAAAAATAGTCTCGGGTTTGCGAGACAATACAATTAAGATATGGGATATGAGCACCTTGAAATGTTTGATGGTTTTACGTGGGCATACAGGATCAGTGCTTTGTTTACAATATGATGACAAAATAATTATCAGTGGGAGCAGTGACACAAGTGTCAGGTGCTTTTCCATTTAATTTGTTTTCTACCTTTTATTTCAAAAAAAGTCTTACTTTCTGTTCGTATTTAATTTCTTACTTGTTAGACAATTTTTTTTTTGTAGGATATGGGATGTTAAAACTGGGTCAAATTTAAATGTACTGTGCCATCATAACGAAGCTGTCCTACATTTGCGCTTTCAGAATGGAATTATGGTTACTTGGCAAGTATTAGCAGAGTTATTTACCATTAGTCTGCTTGTCTTAGATACACCAATTTTTGTCAGTTACTTGTTGAATCTATTTTAAAGTGTGGTGAAATATACTTAAATACTTTTAGTTCTAAAGACCGTTCTATAGTAGTTTGGAATATGGTCAGTCCGTATGAAATTACTGTAAAACGTGTTTTGATTGGTCATCGGGCTGCAGTGAATGTTGTTGATTTTGATGATACGTATATTGTATCCGCCTCTGGTGATCGAACCATTAAGGTAAGTTTGTCTGTTAAAAGCTGCTTCTTTATGAATTGACTTCTACAGTTTTCGTTGGAATTAAGAGTACGATCGTTCAATCTGCCCAATGTATTATTTATTTGAAGGTTTGGGACACAGATTCCTGTGAGTTTGTTCGAACTTTAAGTGGTCACAAGCGTGGCATAGCTTGCCTGCAGTATCATGATCGTTTGGTGGTTTCGGGTTCTAGTGATAATACTATTAGGTGAGTTAGGGGCCATGCATTCCCCTCTCCTCTTGTGATTTTTTTTGTGGTGAAGTTTTTATTTTTCTTGAAGTCTTACTAGTATCTTTAGGCCAGTATTGCCAGGTTTTCAGACTTTTTATGGCTTTGAGAAATAATGTCAATTAATTATTACGAAAAGATGTGTCTTTAATTAATATTTTGTGCAAAACAGGTTGTGGAATATTGAAAACGGCGATTGTCTTAGGGTTCTAAATGGGCATGAGGAACTTGTAAGATGTATTCGTTTTGATTCCAAAAGGATTGTTTCTGGAGCTTATGACGGGTCAGTTCTTTTTTCCTCTTTTGGCTGACTGTTTTATTTTTATTCTTGCTCACGTTAATTATCTCGTATAATAACTTTCTTAATTATAGTAGGATTAAAATATGGGACATGCAAGCCGCTTTAGATCCTACTGTTCCTGTGGAAAGGGTTTTCTTGAGAACTTTTGCCGTAAGTTCTTGACTGCATTTCAGTATCCTTTTTATGAGACTTAATAAAGCGAGAAAGCTTTTTTTCAAGGATTTTGAACTTTTTTTATTTTCTAGGAACATACGGGTCGTGTTTTTCGTTTACAGTTTGATGAATTTCAAATAGTTTCATCGTCACACGATGACACAATAATCATTTGGGATTTCATGAATCCCATACCAGAAACTTTGCCGTTTCATGGGCCCAATATTGTCGACATTGCTGTACGTGATGAATCAAGTTCGTGCCTATTTATTTTATTATTGAAGTAACAATTTAGTTACTATAGCATTTAAGGTTCGGTGAAGTACTGATAAGGCTGACCATTAGAGATGAGCCAGATGCATAAAAAATTTTTGCTTTATCTGTCTACTGAACGGGTGTTGAGAAATTATTGCAGAATTCGGCACGAAGTTTGCTGTATATTTTTCAGCACCAAACAATGATACTGGAGATGAGGTTGATACGACAGAGGTTGATAGGATTCATGAAAATGTTTCGATGCTTGCTGGTCAAGAAAAGTTTGTGGTCACAAACTTTTAGTTTCTTCGCTGACGGAAAATCCCTTTGCGTTAAATATGTACTAAGTAAGAATTTTTCTATAGTTGGGAACTACACTTGCATATTAATTATCTAAATTTTTGTTATTAGGATTTTATTTGGTTTACGAGGGCTTGTAGGTTACACTGTTTTTTTATGTTTTAGACTCTTAGGTTGACTTTAAAAATTTTAAAGCATTTTTTGGGTGTATAACTCAACATTTTTCTTTTCTGGCTCAAGTAGGTGGGGGAAGAGGAGTTTATAACGAGTATTTTACTTGTGTTGCTTAGATGAGGCTAGGAATGTTTTAATTTTAGGAATAAAATTGCGCCTTCAATTAAAACCAAATAGATATTGTTCGCTTATAAGTTTTGGATTTTGTTTTTAGTTGGAGTTTTAAAATTTGTTCCGGTACTCACTTCAGTATCCTATATTCAGTATTTTTAGTATTCTGCTCTTAAAGAGAATTGTTTGCTTGTGGGAGCCCGAAACTCAACTTTTTTTGCGGGAATATTCTTCTTAATATATTGTATCAAACGTATTCCAGTCGAACGGTTTTTCTGACAACGTTTTTGACTTTTCAATTCCTCAGGTTTTCGCAATACTGCCTATAATGTGTTTCATTTCCTTTTTCTCTTTTTTTGTGGGACATTGTACCATGTTTGCCTTATACGTTGGTAAGTCCGCTAAGGAACTCTCAACTTACATTAAGTAGCCTAGCTTCTTACTAAAATTTGGTGTGTAAATTAAAGAATGTGCAATCCGGTAATATTCCATTTTTGCTTAGTCAAAAGAAAATATAGATTCAGAAGGAGAAGGCAATTGAAGTCTTCTTTTTTTTGTTTGTTACGATGTTATTTACTCAGAACGAAATTGGGTTGAAACATGAATTTAGCAGCTTTCTGGTATTGTAGAAAGATAATATCGCAAGGATAGCTTTGTATAAGAGAAGTATTATGACTGTGCAAAATTATTGGGTCGTGCTTTTTTTTTTTCGCGTTCTCTTTCAAGGTGACGTCTAATCTTGGTCCATTACGATGGATAGGGTTTACACTTAGAAACAATGGTTTTTTAGTTAAGAATTTATGAAGATGTGAGATAGGTTTTTTTATTTCTTTTTCTTTTTCTTTATTATTCCGGCCAACTGTGATCTTCTTGTTCAAGCATTTTAATTGCTGAACAACTTTGTTAGTTTGTACAGTAATTTGTTTTTACTTTTAACTTGCAACTTTTTGATATTAAGTACAATTACTGTTCACAAATTACGGAAATGTTGTTTGGTTTATTACTTGTGATGGAAAAATTTTCATTGATTTTTTAGATATAATTGGGTGGGTGTGCATAATGTTGCTCATGACAGTGTTTTTAAAGGCCTGATTTTCCTTATTTTTGTGGTTTTTCGTTTTTGTCTTTTGAAGATTTCGTGTGGATTCATTGTTTTGTTTAGGATTGTGATTTATAAACTTTTTTTTTTGATTGTTCTTTGTATATTGTGAATGATTGAAAATAAATTCTTCCGGACTGTTTTTGAAGTTGCCCAACGAAACTTTATTCCACATATATATAAGTCTTTATTTATTTATTTATTTTTTCGTTCAGGACAGTATGTCGAGAATTTTACTACAGTCAGGGTTTTGGGTGGATAGTTTTAAGAGTTCTAGGGATCGTCAGTTCGTTTTGTTTATGTTTGCGCGTGTAGCTGTCGGAACATTTTGAAACTGCGTAAATTTTTTACAACGCATCCACGTACGGTTGTTTAGTTGTTCGTTCGTTCTTTCTTTTTTTCTTTTTTTGCTTTTGTTGACAAATAGCTATTGTAATGGTACAGCTGTTGTCATATTTAATTGATCTAGCTTGGTAGAATGAAAGGAAAGAGGAGGTCTGGAAGTGGGAGACGAGGAGGGGATTAAGATAGAAATTGTTGAAAACGTCAAGTTGTTGCTATGCATTAATCATGCAGATAATTTTAAAGTGTACTAATCATCCAAATTTTTAAAGTTCTTGAGCAACAGAGTGTATGTATTATTATCGTCAGTTATCGTAATGCTATGTGATGCATTAGGTTGCTATTGTTGTTGTTGGTAGTGATGCTGCTGTTTGTGGTGCTCCTGAAATCGGCTGCTAGTAATATTTTTGCTTTAGCGGAGATAATCGGTTTGCGGTGATGATGATGATGATGATGATGATGATGATGATGATGAGAATGAGAATGAGAATGAGAATGAGAATGATGATGATTTACTGGCTGAGGCTTAAATT